AGATAGAAAGAGAGAGGGAAAGAGAGAGAGAGAAGACTTGTATTTTTCTTAAACTTGTCCTCCGTGCCTGTTCCTTTCAGGCTTGTTGCATCAGCCGCTCTCGTTTTTGTCGATAGACAGCCGCCGCGCAACTTCTACGGTGTGTTATCATACTGAAAGTAATCGGAATATGACGTGGTCGTTGTAGTAGTCAACCGGTCGAAGGAAATATTGGTTGCGAGTATGGTATAATTTTCATGTGCCATCTGGTTGTTTTATTTGCAGAAACTGTTATTCTCTCTATCTTTATGTTTTTTTCTTTCTCTCTCTCTCACACACACACGCACACACACACACACACACACACACACAAACACACATGATGCACAACTTCTCTAGTAGCTATTAAATTGTGATATACGTACGTAGTTCTTTTCTTTGTGTAAGATATAGTCATTGTTCCACTTACTATCTATCTTTTTTTTTTTTTGTAAGATATACATATTGTTCCACGTACAAAGATGGCTAACGTACTTGATCGGATGATGTAAATTAAGCATTACTCATTCGAGAAAGGAGGTAGGAACGGATTTACTATGCATCAAATTCAACATACTATCGTGACGTTATAAAGAATTTTGGGGTGACCATCTTTATTACTTGTAACGGATTCTTTTTGCCACACCCGTCAAGTACCCTATTAGCCGGCTAATAAAATTGTCACAATAGGTTATGATCCATAAGCTCTACTTGTCGAAGTGTCCAACCATTCACATTAAGGCGCACCCATTGATAAAAATTGACCAATCATAGCACATAGGGCGTAGTTGCACATTTGGAGGTTGTTTGTCACTTACGATGACATTTTAACTAAGATAATGTGCAGTCACTGTTACGAACGGAGAGACAGTGTATTAGAGTGGATAGATAAAGAGCATGTTGATCCCTCATCAGGTAAATATCTCATCCGCTAGAGTGTAGTATACAACATAGACTATACGTAGATATGTTAGAGAGCGAAAAAAAAAATCTCACTACAAAAATTTGTTAATTTCTAAGTATAAAAACAAGAATAATTTAACAACTTCGCTGGTGAAATAAATAGAGAGTAAAAAGAAAACTCGCAAAGGATGAAAGCAAAAAGTGCAATTTGTAAAGCCCAAAATATCGTTATATTTCTGTTTATTTTGGGTTAATTTTATTTCACAAACTGATTGGACATTCTTCACATAGAAAAAGGAAAATATAGCATGTTACCTACCATCACCTTTACAAGAGAACGATTGTAGTCAGTCATCAATGATGAGTCTGACAATTTTTTTTTTTTTAATATATACCCTGTGTCCAGGTATTTTTACCATGGAGAGAAGGAAGGCACGCTTACTCTTAGGAGTGAAAGAGAGGGAAGAGGAAGTGTGTCGAAAATTGGGAGCTGGTCTCCGTTTTCTAAAGAAGTGTGGTGAGCAAGGGGGAGGTAAAAAGGGGAAGGTTTACAGAAGAAGGCCGACAAGTTCCGAAAGAGGGAATAGGCAAGCGGAGGAAGCAACGGGAAGAGGGCACTCTCGTATTAGAGTCGAATAGAAAATGAGGAAGAAAAAAACACAGGAAAAGATAACGAGGAACAAGAGCGGAAAAACGAATTGGGTGGAGGGCAAGCCGAAGAGGAAATGAAAGAGAGTGTAAAGCCAGTTGAGCAACGAGAAGCGGAAGTGGGTCGAAAATTGGGAGCTGGTCTCCGTTTTCTAAAGAAGTGTGGTGAGCAAGGGGGAGGTAAAAAGGGGAAGGTTTGCAGAAGATGGCCGACAAGTTCCGCAAGAGGGAAGAGGCAAGCGGAGGAAGCAACGGGAAGAGGACACTCTCGTATCAAAGTCGAATATGAAAATGAGGAAGAAAAAAACACAGGAAAAGATAACGAGGAACAAGAGCGCAAAAACGAATTGGGTAGAGGGCAAGCCGAAGAGGAAATGAAAGAGAGTGTAGAGCCAGTTGAGCAACGAGAAGCCGAAAAAACAAGTAATTTTGGAAAAGCTATCGAAGGAGCATTGAAAACAGCGGAGATGGAAGCACGAGCCCTTGTGGGGGAAAAAAAAAGGCCTGGAAAAACCTGCAGAGGTTGACGATCGACCTAAAAACAGGCAGAAAAATACAAAAGTGGAAGACGAATGGACGATGGAGTCAGATGACGAGGACGACGTGTTTACTGCGAAAATGACCGTTAGGGTGTTGAAAGAACTGGAGAACATGGTCATTTTCAAAGAGTCGACCTAGTTAGTGGTGGAGACAACCGAGCGGGATGATGCACGAGCGGGAAGATGAATGCCTTGCTGAAGTATGGCCTGCGGTAGTTGTGAACGGAGCTCGGAGAAAAAATAAGAAGAGGAATTCACTAGAGAGAGAGAGAGATTTTAAAGAGGGCGAAAGGGAGAGAATGAGGGTGAGAGAGAGAAAAGGGAGGGAGGGGGGGGGGGGGGGGGWTTGGRGGAAATATTGGTTGTGAGTATTGTATTTCCATGTGCTATCTGGTTGTGTTAGTTACATAAAGTGTTATTCTCTCTATCTTTCTCTCTCTTTCTCTCTCTCTCGCACACACACACACACACACATACACACACACACACACACACATGATACACAGCTTCTCTAGTAGCTAATAAATTGTGATATACGTACGTAGTCTATCTTTTTTTTCGTCTTTCACTTTTTTTCTTCATGCATTGGTAGCAATTGTTATTGGTATGTGATACCTCCAAGGTGCATGGCGAGTTTACAGAGATGGCTAACGTACTTGATCAGATGATGTAAATTAAGTATTACTCATTCGAGAAAGGAGGTAGGGATGGATTTACTGTGCATCAAATTCGACAGACTAGCATGACGTTATAAAGAATTTTGGGGCGACCGTCTCTATTACCTGTAACAAATTCTTTATGTCACACCCGTAAAGTACCCTATTAACCGGCTTATAAAATTGTCACAGTAGTTATGATCCATAAGCTCTTCTTGTTAAAGCGTCCAACCATTCACATTTAGGCGCACCCATTGCTAAAAACTGACCAATCAGAGCGCATAGGGCGTAGTTGCACATTTGGAGGTTGTTCGCCACTTACTATGACATTTTAACTGGGAGAATGTGCAGTCACTGTTACGAACGGAGAGACAGTGTATTAGAGTGGATAGATAAAGAGCATGTTGATCCCTCGTCAGGGAAATATCTCGTCCGCTAGAGTGTAGTCCACAACATAGACTATACGTAGATATGTCGGAGAGTGAAAAAAAAAAACCTCACTACAAAAATTTGTTAATTTTTAAGTATGAAAACAAGAAATAATTTAACAGCTTCGCTGGTGAAATAAATAGAGAGTGAAAAGAAAACTCGCAAAAGATGAAAGCAAAAAGTGCATTTTGTAAAGCCCAGAATATCGTTAATTTTTCTATTTATTTTTGGTTAATTTTATTTCACAAACTGATTGGACATTCTTCACATAGAAAAGGGAAAAAATAGCATGTTCCGTACTCAATTACCTACCATCACCTTTACAAGGGAACGATTGTAGTCATTGCTCAATGGTGAGTTTGACTTTTTTTTTTTTTATATACCCTGTGTCCAGGTATTGTTAGCATGGAGGGAAGGAAGGCACGCTTACTCTTAGGAGTGAAAGAGAGGGAAGAGAAAGTGGGCCGAAAATTGGGAGCTGGTCTCCGTTTTCTAAAGAAGTGTGGTGAGCAAGGAGTTAAAGAGGGGAAGGTTTGCGGAAGACGGTCGACAAGTTCCGCAAGAGGGAAGAGGCAAGTGGAGGTAGCAACGGGAAGACGGCACTCTTGTATCAGAGTCGATTATGAAAATGAGGAAGCAAGAAACACAGAAAAAGATAACGCGGAACAAGAGTGGAAAAATGAATTGGGTGGAGAGGAAGCCGAAGAGGGAAAAAAGGAAGAAGCAGACAACGAAGGATAGGCTGGCGGCGAAAAGGGAATTGAATTAGAAGATAAAGCGAAAGATGAGGAAAATAATGATGATGTAGAAGAGGAAGAAGTGAAAGAAGAGAATGATGGCGAAGAGGGAGAGGAGGAAGAAGATGAAGACGATGTAGAAGAGGAAGAAAACGAAGAGGAAAAGGAGGAGGAGAGAGATGATGATAATGATGATAATGAGAAAGAGGAAGAAGGGGAAGCAGGCGAAGGGGAAAAAAAGGAAAAAGAGGAAGCAGGCGAAGAGGAGGAGGAAGAAGAGGAAGAAGACGAAGAGGAAAATGAGGAGGAGAGAGATGATGATAATGCTGAAAAAGAGAAAGAGGAAGAAGATGAAGACGATGTAGAAGAGGAAGAAGACAAAGAAGAGGAAGATGATGGATATGAAGAAGAGGGAGAAAATGAAAAGGATAAGGACGAAGAGAAAGATAAGGAAGGGGGGGATGATGAAAACGATAAAAGAAGGGAAAAGCAAGAGGAGGAAGAAGAGGATGAGGATGAAGAGGAAGCTGAGGAAATGGACGATAGTGAAAGTGGAGAAGTAGAAGTTGACCTTCAGCATTTCGTACGGTTGCATAAATTTGTTCAAACACAACTGGAGAGGAGCCTTGACATTCGTAACACAACTGGAGAGGAGCCTCTCCAGTTGTGTTTGAACAAATTTATGCAACCGTACGAAATGCTGAAGGTCAACTTCTTCTCTCAACTTTGTGAGACAGTCGCCCGAGGAAGAGGTGAAAGGAGAGGACGAGGATGAAGCGAAAGTCCAGGAAGAGAGAAACGAAGAAGTGTCACATAAATCTAACCAATCCGTACCATACGAAAGCGGTAATGTTCCACCAATCAGACCAGCGCTGCAAGAAAGAAGAGGGAAAAGCAAAGAAAGGGAAGAAAATATTATAAAATTGACTGAGGAAAATGAATGTAGTGATGATGATAGAGTTTTTCCTGGTCCGGAGGATGTGAATGAAGAAGATATAATTTCTTTGTCGCCGTCATCGGGAGAGGAAGAGGGAAGGAGAAAAACCCTCGATGAAATGGAAGTAGAGGAGGAGGGTGATAGAACTGGAGATGCTCCTTGCATGGAGGGCACGGAGGATTTTGAGGAAAACAGTGTAGAGGACGCAGGGGATGCGATAAGGCGAGGGAAAGGTGACCGCTCCACTAGAAAAGAAAATAAAAATGTGCAGGAAGCTTCTGTACGATCAAGTGAAGAAGAAGAGGAAGAGGAGGGTATATAGAATGCGGATGTGGAAGATACCACGGACATAAGTCCATTCCGGACTTATAGATTTGAGATCTCACTTTTATGACGCAAAAAAAATCGATTAGGACAATCACGACATTATACACGATCATTTAGAATTGGACTCCGATAGACACAAATTTGACAACCGCCAGTGTGGGTTGAAAAATTTGGAAGGGATTCAAAACATGACGCCAAGAGCCGTCTTTTTTAGATTGTGGCCGCCAAAAGTTTTTGACATGATTGTGAAGGAGACAAACGAGTATGCAAAGAAATGATTAGCGACGGTGAGGAGAGCTGCGCAAAAGTCGCGACCATGGCGGCCGACGGATCGCATGGAGATGATAGTTTTCTTTGGGCTTGTCATTGCGATGGGTTTCAACCGCTTGCCCAACATGAAAGATTATTGGAAAACAGTAGCGCAAGATGCTGTTTCTTTCACAGATTTCGAAAGAGTAACGAGTCAGACACGCTTTGAGGACATTAAACGAATGCTCCATCTGCGTGATTCAACGAAGAGACCAGAGGATAAAAGTATGAGAGCGTATCGATTGTGGCAGCTTGATCCGCTAATAGATAAACTAAGGACTGCAGCACAACTGTATTTTTATCCTGGAAAGGTGTTATGTTTCGACGAGAGGACAATCCCTACGAAAAATCGGTTTTGTCCAGTGAAAGTGGTCAACAAAAGAAAACCTCATCCTGAAGGTATCCAAGAGTGGAGTTTAAATGATTGTGAGACAAGATACCAGTTCGATTTTGATGTTTACGATCGTGTACATAAGCGGCCCGGAGTAAGTAGAGTGGAAGGTTCGAGGTTAGAAAGGAAGCATTTAGGCGTATTTCAGAGAGTTGTGTACGATAGAGTGGGTGCCGTGGGGAGAGGGCACATCATTGTGATGGACCGGGCTTTTGCGGAGACCCGTTTGTTTCAACTGCTGAAGACGGAAAAAGGAATTTTGACGACCGGTCCAGTCAAGTTACCCTACCAAAGACCGACAGAGAAGCCGGAAGGCCGGCGGAAAAAACCTTCTTTGCGTTTCCCGTCGAGTTTGCGGCTTGAGGAAAATGTTCCTCCAGGATCAATGAAATGGACGCACGCACATCAGCTGCACACCGGGATGGTTGCATGTGTGTGGAAGACGAGGTCGAACACCATACCATTTCTATCAACGTCGCACGGGTGTCGTCCTGTCGAGGACGAGAAATGGGTAGGAGGAAAGAAGGTGGTCATCGTGAAACCGGAATGCATTATGTTTTACTCAAAGCACATGCATGCCACCGATGCATTCAATAAAATGTGTAATGGTAGAATAGGTTGCGAGGAGATGATGACATCGAGACGCTGGTGGCCACGATATCTATGGGGGAGGTTGGATGCAGTTGTGACAAACGCGTACATCCTCAAGAAGGCAGGTGGGGGGAGCGTTCAATCGCACGAAAATGTTTGTTTGGAATTGCAAGAGGAATTAGTGGCATGTTTTTTGATAGGCACGTCCATTCCGAGGCAGTTGCGTTATGGAGATTTGAGGATTGTCATTCCCGGCGAGGCTCTATATCCTGGAAGGTTCACGGATGCACACTATCCCGGAATGACCGTACTGGATGCAAACGGCAAACATCCTGCACTGAACTGTGTTGTTTGTACTTCGTTGTGTAAAAGAAAGTACCCTGGGTGGGTGATGGACAGGATAACACACACGTGTGCGACGTGTGCAGTGCCTTTGTGCATTGTACCTTGTTTCAAATTATTCCATCAGTATGCTATTGATGGATATGATTATAACTATCGGGCCTCGAAGCAGTCTGAAGGTTCCGGAAAGCGAAGAAGGCGATCGAGCAAGATAAATTACAGCACGCAGCTTGCTGCACCGGTCGTGCGAGGGGAGAGAATCCAAAATGAATTTGGAATATAATGTGGCCAAAGGCGGCGAAGGATGGGAAAAGGTAGTGCATGAGGAAGTGTTCCAGCAGTTGGAGATATAACTGTTTTACTAGAGTAGACAGAAAATGATTTGTACATGGTACTTGTATATGTGCGCGACTGTATAGATTCATGTATTATAGTTTACATTGTTTTGCGGGTTTACGTGTGTTGTGCAAAGAGAGAAGGGGGGGTTGCGTATTTGTATAATATATTAATACTATGAGAGCGAAGCTCAATTTGACGTCTTGATGACGAATGCCCGTAGATAGAACATGCATTATGCATTGCATTGATTGTCTTGTGGAAAAAAGTAGTGTAGGAGGAGTTCCAACAGTCGGAGATAGAACTTTCTACCTAAAGTAGAGAGAAAATGAAAAGTTTTTGATCTTCAATTGTTAGTAAAATAATTTGTATATGACACAAGCTGAAATTATATATTTTGTATAATGTGCTATTATTAGGAGAAGCAAGCTGAAATTAGACGCCTTGGTAAATTTATGTAATATTCATTACATTGTTCTGCGGGTTTATGGGTGTTGTGTACGGCGGGGGGCGGGGGAAAGAATGCAGAAAGAGGAGGAATCGAGGAAGGTGGAGGAAAAATTCGTCGACATTCATCATCAAATGTTGGAGACAGCAAATAAGCTTGCACAACTCAGATATAAAATATTTGATTGTTCAAGGAAGGAGTTGTCAAATAACGACGGTGGGGTAAATGCGACAATTTGCACCTGCGGCGTTGAGACGCTGCCGGCAAGAGTGGAGAAGGAAGAAAAATTACAATTAAAAATATCTGTAATGGAAGAAGAGATTGTTGAGCTTCGTGAATAGGTCGTCGTTTTGAAGAAACAGCGGGACGATTTGGCCGTAGAGAATGATATGTTACGTTCCAGATTACGGCGATTTTCTAATTCCAAAGGAAAGAGTGTTTCAAAAAACCCTTTGTCGCATACACACCCTCTTGGCCTACTGTTATCTCCTAAGGGAGGGGTGAGTGGAGACGATAAGCAATTGCAAATGTCATTTAGAGCAATGCGAATTGCCGAACGAGACAGCAACCGAAGACCAAATGAGGATAAATAATATTTTGTTTCTTTTATTTGGGTAGCGATCAGTTGTGGCAGGTAATCATGATAGATTGTATAATTTAAGTTCAGGAGAAATTGTCTTTTTTTTTTTTTGGTGAAATATAAAAAACAGTATGATAATATACATATTTCCGATCCACTTCGCTCCGACTGTTGGAAATATTTGACTTGTATTATCGAGTTGTGATTATCATTGTTTGGCATACCTGTATTTCATGTGTTTTGTTGTTCTAAAATCAGATGAATGATATTTTTTTTTATATGCGTCTTAAGTGAAACCAACCATTTTTATATGAAATTGTCCTGTTTATATTTTTTTACTTCGCATCTTTTTACGTATAAATTTTTAATTTTTTGTCACTAAGGTGATCGTTTTTATTTACGTCTCGCGTCTTTATTGTTTGACAAGCGAAAGACTATGGTTTTGCAATTTAAGCGGAACAACAGAACAATGCAAATACACGAATCTACTGTGGTTAATAGCTACAAACAAAGACTGCGCTAAATAATTTACGCGGGCAAACTCCACAGATGTAACAAATTGCTTCACAGGGATGAATAACTGTACAGAAACTGCGGACGGGGTAAAAAGAGTTTACAAACATGGATGTTGCTTTACTGGGGTGAATAGCTATACAGAATCGTCGCCCCGGGGGTTCGAGGAGTTCGCTGCAGACACGATTTATGCTTGAGGAGTTTATGTCAATTTCTTTTATTGTTTAATTTGAAATTTTATATTGTGAAGGCGGAAAGTCCGCTTTGCTGAATCATTAAACACATGCTGAATAGTAAATGAACTCTCTATAAAAATAAAATTGTTAAGTGATTTTGTATTCATCTCTCTCTTTAATTCATATTGAAAATGTTCAGAAAGACATTTTGTGCATCAATAATATTGGAATGAATATAGTTCATTAAATCTCTGGATAGAGATAGTCCATTGATTTCTCTCTATTCTCATCGGTTCTCTCTCTATCCTCTGTGGATATCTGTATGTTCATCTCTCTGATACCCAAGTGTACATCGATCCTTAGGCGGTCCTTATTGCCAGTCACTGTCAGTCACTGAAGGGTGTGGGTACATGTTTTCGTGAGGCTTTATGGTCAGTGGTTTGCTCGCTGATCTTTGGCGGACTATCTATTTTGGGTTACGGGTTATAGTTTAATCTTTAAAGCTATGTGTCACAGGTCTGAGTCGGAGTGTTGGTCACGGGCCAGCTGGCCATGACTTGATTAAGGTGTGGTCGTGATGCTTTGGGGTCGTGATGCTTTCAGTCAACTAACCTATATAGATCTGCGGGTCTAAAGGT